GAGCCCCAGGTTCTATGAAAGAATTAGACATGGATGCTATGAAGGGTGTCAAAGGAGAGAAAGGAGATAGAGGTAATTTTGCAGAAAATCTCAAGACACTAAAACACACTATTCATCTACTTTTTTGTTAAATCTGTTTTGTTCTGGCTAATCTGTATTCCTTAGATATTGATAACCACACATTGACCAAATATAGCCCACTTGAATAGAGGTACCATGCACATCTGTAGGTTTTTGTGGGTTCTTTATATAAAAAACAGTGCTTTGTATTGTCAGACCATACCATAACATATTCATAAGTATGCTCTTTACAATATAATTGATCAATCTCTGAACTACTTAAATTACTTCTGAATTCAGTATTTGGTAGTGTTTACCTAGAAATGTTATTAAACCTTGCTACTTCCAATATTTTAGCAATATACTGGACTATAATCTACCAATTTAACTTTTCTTTACACATGGACAATTGGTTCTAGGGATATTTTCTCCAGTTAAATCAATTCAAACATATGTCCAGTTGGGTACTGGGTAATTATTTTTTAGACAAGGTTAGTAAATTCCTGTACAATTTCCCATCAACTGATTTTGTTCTCTTCACATTTTACTGTATTGCAACCTAATATGTTTCTGCAGTTAATAGCTCAGTGTATTCCAGATGATGATAGTTACGTTATGTATACATATTTTCTGTGTTTCACATATGACCTTGGATAACTGCGGAATTTGTTGGCGCTATATAAATAATAACATAATAATAATAATAATAATAATAACTTAGTAGTCTCCTTTTAAAATCCAGATTCATGACAAGATACTGCCATGGGAATGACAATTTTATATATATATAAATAACATAGAATGCACACTATAACAACTTCAATCATTAAGTACAATACACCTTTATTAATTAGAAACAAAATCACAATATCAGACAAAAAAAACACAAATAAACTAAGTAACAGAAATAGAGGTAAACAATAATACAATAGTACTATACCAAGAAAATCTTACAAGCCCCAAGGCAGAAACACAAGTCACTAACTCCCCCAATGTTTCGGCACCAACTGGTTTGCCTTTATCAAGGGTACCTCAATATATAATTAAGGTTTGCCTCTATTTCTGTTAGTCTATTTGTGTGTTTTTTTTGTATGATATTGTGATTTTTTTCTAATTAATAAAGGCGTATTGTACTTAATGATTGAAGTTGTTATAGTGAGCTTTCTATATTATATATATATTCAGATATTTAAACACTTAAGGGAGTGTTTATATAGTTTGCACCTGGCTGAATTCAATATAATTGTGTCTCTCCATGGGATTTTGGTTTTTATAATGATATATTTATCTAATCATAGTTTTTTAATAAGGCAATTTGTGGAAATAAAACATTTAATAAAAAATATACAGTCACGGGAATTATGTGGTTTTACACATCAGGGCATAATAACAAGCATATATGCCTTAGCAGGATTTAAGATTAGGTAAATACAACTTGATGAACAGCAACATAGGACATATTACACTGTGCATGATTTATTTAACAAAAATAAAGCCAACATGGAGAAGCCATGTGTGATTAACTAAGTACACAGTATGACTCAAGAGCTTGAAAAATCACCTTTAGCAGCAATAACTTGAATTAATCGTGTGACTTTATCAGTCTCTCACATCATTGTGGAGGAATTTTGACCCACTCTTCTTTACAACGTAGCTTCAGTTCAACTAGGTTTGCTAGCATTTGTTTATGCACAGCTCTTTTCAGGTCCTGCCACAGCTTTTCAAGTGGGCTGCGTCTGGACATTGACTGGGCCGTTGCAACCTCTTGATTCTTTTCTTTTTTACACGTGGTATTTTGGCTTTATTTTTGTTAAATATATTATGACACAATGTAAGATATCATGTGTTGTTCATGTGAGGTTGCACATGTCTAATTTTAAGACCTGCTAAAGAACAGATTATTATTATGGCCTGATTTCAAACCATAGAATTTAAAGAGGGTGTACTTTCTTTTTTCCATGACTGTATATTTTGTATTAAATGCTTTATTTCCAAATATGGCCTCATTAAAAAACTTTGATTAGATAATTATTAACATGCTGATGATCATTTAACAACGTCAATATGAATACAGACACTAAACAACTAATCTCATATGCATATTTAGGATATCAGACACAATCGAGTCTTACACCAAATCAAAATAAATATTAACTAAAAAAACAAAAACTTTATTAATTTACAAAGCAGTAAATGGGATTAGAGAAGATCATAGATAAAAGAACTTAAAAGAAGGTATAGCAGGTAGTGGGGGGTAACCTCCTGTCAGTAGATTCTCGCCGTGGATGCACGTTCGTTTCCCCCTTGGCAATGTCGGAGGTGAAAAACAGAGCCAGCATAGAGGAACCTTGGTGCTGGAAAAAGGTAAGTGAGAAAAAAGTTTCTTAAACCTTTAACTGCTGTGGTGGTGGTGGTGGTGGGGAGTGTATGAGGGATTTTATAGTGTTAAGATCACAATTTTGTATTCCTAACACTATAGTGTTCTTTTAATTCTAGACCACAGAGACTGTCTCTGCATCCTTATCAGTGTAAAAGCTGCATTTTCTTGTAAAGGCCAGTGTTTACACTGCTGATTAATGTCACCACCAATGGCTGTCACTCTAACAGCCACTATGGTGCTTCCTGGGTTTGTTTCTGCAAAGATTGCATGACTTACGTCCAGCACCTCCATGCCCTGCATGGAGACACTAAACATTTACCCTAGAATACTCCCCCAAGAGATGCTGGCAATTTGCTGTGAATGTGCACTAGCTTCAAGATGCTTTTCTATGGGGAAGCAATGGATTGGTACACTGGGGTATTGCCGGGAGAAAAAAAGTGAGTAAAACTTAATTTTGTTCACAGCAAGATCATGGTCTTTCAGGCTCAGACTTATGTGCATTTTAATGCCGCAAGTCAAGTTTTCAATCTAAGTTTGGCAGTATTACTATCAAAAAAAGTAAACTTTTATTTTTATCAAATTGATAGCAGTCACCCAATACAGACCAGATACCACTGATGGATTTCTGATCAGATAGGAACATGTATATGTGCTGATATCAGGTTGGAACAATATCTATATACTGGAAATGTTATCAAGAAAATTAATTTTCAAGCAACCCATATACCTGTTTTTTAACTCAATGTGCCAATATTAATATGAATATGATCATTAACACTTACTAAGTGGTTTGTACCTGTTATGTATACCTTATAAAAGCCGAATAACTTGAACAGTGAATACAGTCCTGACCTATAAAATCTGCTGAACACTGAAAATAGTTCTGACCTATAAAATCTGTATCATTGAAATAGATAAATAATCAATGGAGAAAAATAAAAAATGTAAGTAGTAGTACCAACTTATTGCCCAAGACCATAAACATTACATTTAGAATTGTATCGAATCTTTGTGGCATTCAGTGACATGAATAAATTAATTAAGTTTTCAACCATCCCTTTAGGAAATAGTCTTGTGTATACATTTTATTTATTTACTTGCAATGTTATTTTTCAGTTTTAATATGGGCCAAGCGATATGAAAACTGAAAAAAATATATATATACAGTATATATTTTCTGCAAAATACATTGCATTAGTCTTTTTATGTACCTTATTATTATTGCATTATTGTAATGCACTGTTGTGTTCTTTGTGTACAGTATTTTTAATTGTGTACCCCGTTTCTTTCTTACCTTAGGATTAATTGGATTAGAAGGAGATAAAGGGGCCCAGGGTGACCTGGGGAGCCCTGGAATGCCAGGAGTGCCTGGAGAATCGGGAATGCCAGGAAAGCCAGGTACAAACATTTTGCAATACTGAGCAAAAGGTCTACACAAAATGTTTATTACCATTAATCTTTGGTTCATATATTTACATGAACACAGGCCCAAAAGGTGAAAAGGGATTTCATGGACAAACAGGTTCTCCAGGAACACCAGGTCTTAAGGGATCAATGGGAGAAATGGGATTGCCAGGTAATATTACTCCTTTTACTATATATTTAACTCTATAAAATTGCTGCTACATAAAGGGTGGGCCAAAATTCAGAGTAGGGTTTAAGGAGTTAATAACTTTTTTTTTACCAAATAACCAATATTATATACGATGAATGCTTAATGTTTGGAGATTTGCTTGACTCGTTACAGCAGATGACATCTTTTAAATGAGTTCTATTTGCCACCTCACAAAGTAAGGGCCTATTGATTGCATTGTTTACAACATTAGTTAAGGTTTGAGGCTCTAGTGCTCGCAGTTCTACATGGATATTCTCCTTGAGCTGCTCAAGTGTACTCTGTTTGTTCATGTACTCCAGCAGTTTTCAGATTTCCCCACAGAAATTAACCAGGAGCTGAAAGGTTGTGTTAGCATGGCAGCCAATTAATCTGGGAATTTCTTGAAATTATTGGCTCGCCGAACAGAGATTTAAGATTTGAAAATAAAATTCCACTAATTTCACTGGTTGTTGCTTCGTGAAATTACCCACAATGAATCTCCCAAGACCAAGTTATAATATGTACCTGCAACAAAAAAAAAAAAAAAATGTAACTACTAACAAATAAGTTTTTTACCTGTCAAATCCTATTTTGAATTTTGGCCCACCCTGTATAAAGCTAATTATGAACTTAAATACAATTTTCAAATTGTGAGAAAGCTGCCATACAAATAGAAGACACTTTTAAGCATATATATATTAAGTAGATATAATAAATATATATATATATATATATATATATATATATACAAAAAGAGAAACTTGGGACTCACCCCTTAATTATAAGTAATGTAGAACTTGCCTCGGTGCAACCTGCATCCATATATAAACCTGAAGCAAAGAGGTGCACTCAGCGGTCTTTTCAACGCGTTTTATTCAAATAAACTTTGTGTCCTGATCACGACACAAAGTTTATTTGAATAAAACACGTTGAAAAGACAGCTGAGTGCACCTTTTTGCTTCAGGTATATATTTTCCTCCTGACTATGCACAATGTTCTAATATATATACATATATTAGAACATTGTGCATAGTCAGGAGCAAATTGATAGTCCACCGGATCCTGAGAAGTGTCGTTTATTTCGGGACTTGGGACTTGACCTTGTTTATGATCCTTATTAAAATAATATTGTGAAATTTAATTAATTTACCTCTGAGACATTGTGCATATGTTTGTGAAACCGTGGCAACTTCATAAATATTCCTTTTTTTTGGTGGCTGTAAGGGTTAAAGGAGAGTACTTTTTATGGAAGTTCTGTGCTTCATATTATAACACTGGCATTTGTATGTAATACATATTTTAAGATGAAATGATACGTTTAAAAATGTAACATTAAAATATTACAGTAAATATGGATGCATTTCTGATTACTGATCAGTGCAGGTTGTTCATTAAATAGTAATCATAATTCCAGAAAACTATCCCCAGGAGATACATCTATTGTCGGCTATTTAATGTGATAAACCATGACTCATTGAATACAAATTACTCTATTCCACCTGGAGGTCTCCTAAGCATAATTCATAATACATTTCTGTTTATGGGGAAGCTTAACAGAGAATATCAAACTGCTCATTTTCTGCCTTAGTAAATAGTAAGTGTACTGTACTATATTACCACCAAAAACATGCATACGAATAAACAAATGTGTCACAAATCAGAAGTTGTAAAAAGTACAAGACATATAGAAGAAGAAGATTTTGTCATTGTTTGATACTTTGTCCCATTGATAGTGAATGGTAATATGTATTTATGTATAGTTTGACTATGTCCGGTTTATCTCAGGGATATATGTGTGCCATCCTGTCCAAGATAAGTGGGAGTTAAACTTTAATTCATCTTTGTAGTTTAATTGCTTCTGTTGTTGATGACAATACTGGTAGAGGAGCAGAGGAGACAGAAACATCATAATTCTCATTCCCCAGCTCCCCTTCAGAAATATCAGTCTTAGTAAAGGGGCTGAAATAGAGGGACACCCTAAGGAGAATTCATTTTTATGAAAGTACGCACATAACTTTGTCGTAGCGAAGTGGTTTGGTGTATAGATTATATCGATTATATCCCTGCAGTCTAGCTGCTCAACCATTTTTGAGTTAAAGCCCTAGCCACAAACTCAGCTTCTGGTCTTCTGGTTTAATATGGATTCGAACCACTGAGATGACATTATTTTTCCCTAATGAATGTATCAGTGTTATGCACATCATTAGTTTGTGTTTCCCTTTTAAACACTTGCAGGCCCAACTGGACAAAAAGGTGAACAAGGTATTCAAGGTACCCCAGGACTGAAAGGCTCAGAGGGAGTTAGAGGTGAAAAGGGTGGGAAAGGCGAAGAGGGTCGTCCAGGTGTTGGCTATCCAGGGCCTCCAGGTTTCAAGGTAAATATGGTACAGCTAACTGAATTGAAATTAGAGTTTTACATTTTGACAGTATGTCCAGTCCCAAATGCTAAACATATATTACCTTTTAGACTGTTGGCCATGATCTTTTAAAATGATTAATCACCCTTAGATTAACATTATTGCAGTACTGTCCAATGATTCTTAAGGTAAGCATTATGAGTTTACAGACAAATATATATTTCACAATTTATATATACATCTAACAAAATATATAGTTTACATCTTGAATAATATGTTAGATGCAATTTATTGTATATTTTACATTTATTATCAGTTTATTTGATCTATTTCCCATATTGTTATACATTTCAATATCTCATTTTTATTTCTCTGAATGTGGAGCTTAAGCCTTCTCCACTGGTATTACTATGTCACAGTATTTGTGTATTTATCTGTCCACAGGGCGAGCCTGGAAAAGAGGGATCTCTAGGTTTGCCAGGTGAAAGAGGTGAAAAAGGAGACACAGGCCTTCCAGGATTTCCAGGCACAACTGGCTCTAAAGGATCTCCAGGTTCTCCAGGTTTCCCAGGCAAGTTCTATTGCTTAGGGTTCCTCAAAACTGATTTTATGAAGATATCTATTTTCATCTAAAAGATGACATCTGCTCATTAATTTTCTCTCTAGGCAGTCCTGGACTTACAGGAGAAAAGGGCATCAAAGGACATCCAGGGTTAGATGGAATTCCAGGTTCCAGAGGACAAAAAGGTAGGGATTGTCATTTGCTGCATAATATGATTATGTTGGTTAATATTTTGAATTGATTCACTAGTCAATCAAAATGTTACTAGAGGGTATTTGTCTTAAAGGGACACTATAGTTACCAGAACAATTGCTTATTGTAGTTGTTCTGGTGAGTATAGTCAGTCCCTGCAGGCCTTTTGCGGTAAACACTGCTTTTCTGAGAAAAGGCAGTGTTTACATTACAGCCTAGGACAATCTCTTCTCAGATGGCTACTAGAGGTGCTTACTGGGGCAGTGCTGCGCACGGTAAGCATGGAGACGCCGAACTTTCCCCATAGAGATGCATTGATTTATGCATCTCTATGAGAAGATGCTGTTTGGCCAGGGCGCTGGCTCTGGCCCAATTTCTTGGATAAGATCATCAGAATTGATGATCTCAGCCAATCCAATGCTTTCCTATGGGAATTCTGATTATGTCAGCCAAGGTGGCATACCGGCGTAGGAACCAGTGCCAGCAGAACCACGCCACGCTAGAAATTGGGTGAGTTTTTACTATATGTAAGGAGGGAGGGGCGGGTTGCTAAATAGGGATTTTAACAATAGGGTCAGGAATGTGCTTCTAACCATATAGTGTTACACTATGTGCAAACATTTGGCATTGGAAAACAAGTGTCTGTGGTTTAAATGCTACACAAAGTGAGACTAGTAGAGTCACTAAAGTTCAAATGGTCTGTACTGAATGGGACAAAACCATCCAGATGCATACAGGGCCATTTGGACTGCAAAATCCCAACATTGTTCATGCGGTTTAAAAATGTCCGCATTTCATAATTCAGGCTCTAAATGGGTCTGATTTTGGTCCAGATTTCAGCCAGACTGAAGTCTGTTGGATGCTTTAAAAAAAAAATTCCTAACTACTTTTCCCCTGGCACCACTAGCAGCCAGTAGCCAAATACTTAAAAATGTGGTAGCTGGGTAACACGTTAATCATTTAAAAAAAAAAAATCAAGTAAAAAGCCTTTGGGTGCCAATAAGACCCCCATATTGCTATAAGTGAAGTTTAATACCTTCCCTATGCCCCATCTGATACTAGGCAGGTGGGGGGACATCTACTAACTGGCTAAAACTGGGCAGCCAGTCACTAGAAAGGACCAATTTCATGGAATGGTGTCTGTTAAATAAAAGAGGGGACATACTTCCCTCCCCCATTTCCCCACTAGTGGAGATCGGATGGGAGACTAAAAAAATAATGTGGGGTGGACAGATCACTGTCAGCCACCACATAATTAGCCCTTAGGCTGTCAAGATTTTTGGTTTTAAAAAATTGCCTGCTGGCTGCTAGTGCTGATACAAATATCAGAATAACACTACACCTAAAAAACCTTGGATTGAATGTTGCTATCAGTGAGCAGGATATTAAAAAAAAAAAAAAGCATTTTCCAGCTGTAATTTGTTTTATTTTTGAATTTCCTTGATATTCAAATGTTTAGCATCAATTGTTTTGTTGTATTGAAGTATATCATAGGATATCAGGACTGTAGTAAAATTGTCAATTCTTTCATATTACTCACATAACTTTTATTTACAAGGCAAAAATACTGTTGAAATACATGATACATATTTAACTGTAACTATAAAAACTGTCACAGGTGAAATTGGTGTTCAAGGCCCTCCTGGCTCCATAGGTGAAAAAGGTGAAGCTGGGCATGATGGTATTCCAGGGTCACCTGGTGAGAAGGGCGATCCAGGTATGTCAGCCATTGTTTATTTGTTTATTTACTACAGCAAGTTTATATGACTGGAACATTATACTTCTTATTTTATAATATTAAATTCCTAGTGGACTCCATTAAGATAAACTTACACTTTTATTTTCAGACATTAGTGGGTGCAAATGTAATTACCATCCTACACACATGCCCCAGTGTGTGTCTGCCACATTCTAAATAATGAGCATATTCTCATTAAGATACTTTGGCCTCAACTGAATATTTATTATTTTGGATAAACTTTTAAAATATATTTTTTTCTAAATATTAAAAAAATCAAAAATATATCATATATACAACAATATATCAACATATGAAAATATTACAAAATGTAAATATTTTTTAAAAATAATAATAAATCATTTGAAAGGTTTATCTGAAAATATTTAATATGTTTATAATCATATCTGACATTATTAAATCCAGGTCTATATTAGATCTATTGAGCACAGGTTGGGGCATCCAGTGATTTATAGCATGTGTTACTCTCTGGACAAAATGCAAAACATCGAAAAAGGCCCTCCCCTGGGTGGCCCAATCCTAAATCCGTAATATATACAAACCAACTGCACAGCTACATTTTATATATTTACACATTTATATACAAATCACAGATCAAAGCAATAAATTCATCAGTATAGTTAATATATAAATACAAAAATAAGTATCAGTGTACAGAATCAATATATAGGATACATGTCAAACAAAGTGAAAAAATAATAGTAAGGGAAATAAACAAACGAGGAAAACTGGTGTGCCTAAAGTATTTTTTCCTTGTTACTGTGACATACCAAAAACAACCCGACGTTTCTGCTTGAATATCCTTGACAGAAAGTCTTTTGTAATACCAGTTAGATTTTCAAATTGTTCTAATTATCCTGTTTTAATTTTTTAATTGTAAGGTTTACCTGGAAAAGGTCTTCAAGGATATCCAGGGGAACATGGAGAGAAAGGTAAAACACAATCTTAATAAAATACTCTTTATTTTCAATAAATAGTGCCTTTAATTGTAATTTTTATGTCTGAAACACATTATGATTTAAGCAATGAGACCACCAGAACTGGTTTGATTGTAAGAGGGGCTTATCCTTCCTGATGGGTTTATGTTAGGTTGTCATATTTTTTATATGCTACTTACTATATATACGGGTTGATTTCTCTATAGGTATGTTGTAATTAATAATTTTTTAGAATGCTGAACAA